ACAAACTCTTGTTTTGGCTAACTGGTGGTCTGCATTTTAACGATGTTATTAATCATTAACCACTTACAACTTCACGAGATCACGGTTCCAAAAACTGAACCGTATTAATTAATACTTGCTTTTGTGCTTTTACTTAGGCTATCGCTTTTGAAACATAGCAAAAACAACGCCTAATAGACATAGGGGTTAACGATGAAATTTAAGATCGTGAAATAGAAAAAAATAATACTCGGCTCAGTTAAACCGGGACGTACAAGCAAACTCATCNTTCCATGGGTTTTCGTTCTGTTAAGGCACAGCGAAATGCATCTATATTGGGGTATGGTGTCCACCCCCACTTTTCTCCCCCTTGTACGTCCAAGTGTTAAGATGATCTTTACTAACAGTGCGCTTGCGTGATCGGCTGTGGGGCCCGAGGAAGTAATATTTATAAATAAATTGAAAATAATAATAATAATTCTGTATTCAGCTAAGCTTTCTTTCCTGTCTCACCATCCCGCCCCCTCCCTTAAAAATTATTTTTTTTTTTGTTAATAAACAGTGCTGTTTCTTCTAAAGACCGAGTCAATTTCTACTTGAAAGGCAAATGAGAGAGCCTCTCTACAGTCAAAACCAGTTTCAATTTGGTTTCGCCGTTCAAACCGTAGACGTCAATGCTCCATTGGCTGGACTTTTGATCTATGTCCCTAGTTGGAACAACGTCCGATTTGGGTATGATCAGAACCATTCTGCTGAGGTCTGAAGGTTATATATGTAGATATTTTTATTACCCGTTTCAAGTTGCAAGCTTTCAAACTTACAAAACACACAACAAACCAGTGCTGTTTATAGAACCGTTTTCAATAGTGATTTGCATGTTTAAGCTGAAGGCCTGTATGCTGAAACCCAGGCATGGATAGAGAATAATTCCTATCAAAGTTCATGGTGAACTCCAACTGGCTCCGACAAGGTCTACCACTCCATCTGGTATGTTCCTTGAAAAAAAAAAATTACATGCGCACAATAAGTATTTTGTGTTTGTTTGCTTTTTGCATTCTGACTAACTATCTTTCTTGAATGAACCCCAGGGTAAATTATAATTATAATGCAATAAGGACGTAAATAGAGCGTTTTTGACTTAGGGGTCGAAAAGTAGTAGGTTTTGCATTACTATCCCACAAAATTGGTCTAAAAAACTCGAGCCCCTTTTTCATCCAATGATATGTAAGACCAAAACCAATTGTGAGTCTTCTTACAAGCTTTTCCGCGCTTCGTGTCAGCTACATGTACTTATTTCAAGTTTTGACTGGTTCATTGGATTGTATGTGCCATTTGTGAATGGCTTTAGGGATTTGGTTTTAGTCCTATGACACTCGAATGAAAACTGCTCTAACTGATACTATTTAAACATCGATTAATATGAGATATTTTAATTCAAGAGTTTTGATTGGCTTAGCCATCATGGTATATGCGCAATTATACCATGCTTTAGAAATATGGTAATCGTATCTGTAGTTTTTGGGGTCATTTTAATTTTATTTCATTTCATTTTTTTTTTTTTTTTNGTAAAACAATTATTCTACCCCAGCTCTTGTTGGATATGAGATGATAGTTTTAGCCAATTCAACTCGGCACTACGTGCCTATCATGTCAAATCCGAATCACGTTAGTGGAATAGTTATTAAGTAACTAGCTGTACAGTTGATCGACCTGGTTTATAGCTCAGCCGGTCAGACTAGTCTGTCTTAAATTAGTGTGTGGATTTATCTGAGCGGTCAAGATATATGTATCAAATATTGCAACTCACTAACTTCTTACAGTATCCACATGAAAATGCACACGTCTTATGAATGTTGTTGAGGTTTTGAAAGATTCCAGGCCAGTCACAAAATCCATTTAATGCATAAGAACTACACAGTGGGTGCTGATCCGTGCAGAGTCCTGCGGATAAGTTAACAACGACTGAGAGATTTTCAAGTACATAAATGCATTGTCTAACTTAAGGTCTCTTACCTTACATGAAAACCACACCCACAACGACAACAAATAAAACAAAACAAAACAAAACAAAACAAAACAAAAACAACTCAACAAAGGGAGAAACTTGGTAAAATTTGACTTTTCAGACTTAACCTGAGATCTCTGTCTTGCGTGGTCGCCCAAACAACTTAGCATTAGGGTTGGATTCATCTTACTTTTATTCATGATTTTGATTGAAAACGTACATGTAAGTGCCATTATTACTGACAAAACAAAACATTAGACATAGACATAGACAGCATTGTTAAAAGCAAGGTCTCGCAATTTAGAGGTTAATGACTATCATTAACAACATGAAATCTAGTTCATCATTGCCCACTAGAACTTGAGAATGACTAACCAAGTTTAAGAGGCACTTCGTGAACTTCCATGCTTTTGCGCTTGTACACAGGACGAGGTATCGAGTTTCTTTTATGCTTATTTCTTGTTAAAAGTAGATCCCAGAGGAGGTGTGCTCGAGTCACTCTGTCAGCATCGTACCCTTTAACATGTTTCTGCTTCTTGTGAGCTAAATAATAATAATGATAATAATAATAATAATAATAATAATAATAATAATAATAATAATGAATGGCACCCACTTGTTGGCAATCTGTTCATTTATATTCTCAGGAAAACAATTATGTTTTCATCGTATAATATAGAGAAGTTAGGAACAATAATTTGGGATACAGTTTGGACATCTAGCTGGGAACAATCACTTGGATTACCGAAGTCAGGCTGTGGCCACTAAGGGGTTATCAAGAAAATATTACTCCAGGTAATATAGAATCCCTTTACACAATGACAAGTGAACGGATTGATATCGTAGTTGAACATTTCTAACGCCGGTTGAAGTAAGAAACATTTTTAAAGAGTATGTAGCAGAGTTTTAGGTTTGTAAGTTTTGGCATTCCATCCCAGAACGTATTTGGCCATTATTCATAATTATTTTCTGCAGCCGCACGTAGAACAACAAA